GTCACTCAGTAAACTCAAGATACATTTAACAAATGAATTATTCATGATAAATAGTGTATCACTGATATCAATGAATATTGATTACAAATAGCTTATGCCTGGTTTCAATGTTGAACAGAGAAACTAAATTTTACACCGGAAGAAATCGATTCTCATCTTCCAAAAAAAGGTTTCATATGAAAATATTTTCTTATTCTCTTTACTGTACATTAGTTACATGAGAGTATATCAATGATAACCTCAAAGCTTAAACTCTCAGTTGTAAAATAGAAAGGTTTTAAAAAATCTTCTAATGCCGCCTTAGGAAAGTACTCACGTTTACGGCCCCAGATATACCTCCTATACAGAAAGGGTGGGTCCGGACCAATGTCTATCACCTGAATGTCACAATTTCGCCAAGTTTCAGAAGTCTCTGTTTTTTGCTGCTTCACAAGTTCAATACGCCCTGAGGGGTGTCGAGAGTACATACATCTCAAGTTGTCCTTGGGATCAGGTTTTGAAGGAATTTGGGGAGGGGCAAACATTATGAGGGTGATCAAAAGAATACAGAAAAAACAGAGTCCATCATCTTGGTTTAATCAGGTAAGATTATCTAGTACTTTTAGAGGTACTTTCAAAATTGATTTGTCATCAGTAACATCCAATGTCATTCCAAGTTATTTTTCAGTTATTCGTTTTACACATTGAAACTTAGAATGAAACAAAAGGATATAGAAAGTATCCGAAACTCCAAGCTAAAAATTCTGTCTCAAAACATCTAAAATGCAGGGAAAAACTCTAAAGTCTATCCTTTGCCAAATTTTGTCTTCCAACCATTCACAGACCGTTCACCTTCAGAAATTTCCTAAACAGGTTTCCAGTATCCTGGCAACTCTAAAGCCTTAATATTGGGCAGCTAGGTACTAAATACTTTTTTTAACTGTTGTACCCAGTATAACATAAAATCAATGAATGAATGTATCCGAGATCAGGAAGGTTCATTCCCACGGGAATACGGACATAAAGTGGGATTAGGGTAATTTTGTGGACTTAAATCCATTTATCTTGCTCTGAAATATCCTTCATGCAGGATGAGACGGAACACAAAAAAAGACAGGATTGACTTCTGACAGGGTGACTTTGAATCAAAATAATCATCTTTGAGCATTAGTAATCCACTGTGAAGTGATTTAGCATGATTTAGCAGTAAACTTCTATATTGGCAAAAAAAATTTTCATCTTAGGAGTTTACAAGCAAATTACTCAATACTGCTTTCCAAAAAATTCTATTGTAAATGGTTGCCACTACACACTTAACATAATGCATTTAACTCACAGTGCTCAATTTTCAGTATCTATTATAGATATATGATTGTTTATGATAACACATTAAGATGACTATTCTACAAAGATTTGTATAAATAAAAAGTCTATATTTCATTCCCTTTAATGATGCATGGATATACACATACTGTCACCTAATAGTTAAATCAGTAGCAACAGCAAACATTATGGCTTATATTTTCTATCACCATAGCAATGAAAAACTGGCTAACTATGTAGGACACAGCACTACTCCTTTTTTTTTCCAGAAAACCTTCCCCCATCTCTCTCAAAAGCAAGCTATATCAAAGAATCATGGATGCTTTGCTTGAAGAGCCTCAAATCTTAAATGAAATTCCTGCTGCTTATTATTTCATACTTATAGCCAAAAGTATTGCTGTGTCTATTATGTAAGAGTTAGTTTTAAGCAGAAAATATTATAGCTGAGCTATTTTTGTTTTGTTAGGTTATATATCTATAATAAACTTACTTCTTCTCAGCCCTAAAGGAATAAAAATATAGCATTGGTCAATGTTATATATATACTGCACTAGTATGCAAGTTCAATCATAGAAGCATAAGATAGGATTCAATTTTAACATATTGCTGATATCCAACCCCTTCACATTTTTTAACATTTCAGAAGAACTGACATCAAGAAAAAACTAATACCTCAGAGTTTTGATTGCCAAAACATTGTCTGGTCAAGCAAAGCATCACATAACTTCTAGTTACTGGTTCTTATAGTAAGCTATACAGTGTAATCTATTCCTATGTTCTCATTTATTTCATTACGTACTACAATAACAATTTCCGAATTTACCAAACATTTAAAAGAGATGTCCCACAAAAATCATAGAATTGGCATACAGTGGTGAAACCAGTTCCCTTTAACATTTCATATCTGAATATGCTCTGGACATTGTTAATTTTAGTAATTCTTGATGAGCAGCATTTAATGAATTGACATCAATTTTGACAGTGTTTTTTTTTTGGCATGATAAAATGATGTTGAGTACGACTTGTTTCGGGGTGACTTTCTGTTCGGATTTAAAGAAATACATGCAATGATGTATGTTAATCACTAATAAGTGATCAATATCTTTAACAGTTTATAATTAATGTGAATTTATAGGAGTTGTGTGGAACAGTGTGCTTTGGTTTATTTGATAAATCTTAAGTGTCATATGAAGAAATGCTTTTAATATTCCTTTCATATTGTTCAATTGTTTGCATAAAACCAGTTTGCCATTATCATCATATTGGAAGAAATAAAATTTTACACAAATCTATGACTCGATAAGACACCTCATTTATAATTGCAGTGACACACAAGTACACATAAACTCTGTGCTTTTGGTATTGCAAACTAATATAATTATCACATCTATGCATAATCATTATGTCAATCCTTAAGATAATTATGAATTATGAACTGTTTGCATGCAAAAAGAATCTAATACATTTGGAAAACAATTACTGTGACACTCAAATAGAGGATGATCTTCAAAAAATCATGCACATTGACACCCCAAACAAATAAATATGATTTAAAAAAAAACAAAACAAAAAACATGTTCTCATATTATTATAAAGATGTACATCCCCTTCCCCTTCAAGAACAATTCTCTCTTACATATAAATTTGGCTGAAATTATATGCTTTTGTATAGGACTGGAAAAAGCAGTATATATCATACAAAAAATGGAACAAACAGTATGAATACAACACTGAAGCAAATGCCTTCATTGTGGTTAATGCTGAATAGGTATATTTACAATTATGAAAACATAGAGATGGTATAAACATAGGCTAACTGAACACAATAAATGCAAAACGCATGAAGATCAAACATAAAATAAGACTAAGAACACAAATTGTTCGGGGCACTCCAGGAGGACACATGTAATTAGTACTAATTCCTAGCTTGACAGTTACAACACTTAATTACTGTCACCATAGTTCACAGAACTACATATTAAATTTCTATAGGTCTCTGACCAAATGTACCAACTTAATTAAGTATATCATCCTTTCTGATTCAAGAAAACCAAGTAAGACTAATATTTTAAAATCATTTTGTTTATATTTGGAGAAAACCAAATGATCAAAATTTCAAAAGGGATTCCTCTATTATTTCAGTGATCAAAAATTTTGAGCAATGAGCTAAAATTCTTTTGCACACTTTTATAGAAATCTTAATATGCAGTATCTGTAATTGCGCACACGAAGTTATACAACTTTCAGGGGGAGATAATGTTAATCTGAGCCGCCCTTACAACCCAGAAGCTATAATCAGGATAAGCACACTTATGTACCATATTTTGTGGATCTACGGTCGTTTAGAACCTCTGAAAAATTTATAAATAAAATTCTTTTAGCAAGGAATTTAAAAGATTGAAAAGATTTTTACTTCTGAATCAATGCAAATATATTTTCAAATTATAACCTCAATACGAAACAACCTTTCAAGCAAAAACTGATCACATTCTTTTTTTCTCTCTCTCCTTGATTTGCAAAAAAAAAAACAAACTTACTAATATGTGATGACTATCTGTGAAGCACAAATACACAAAAACATTTTAGTTAATACATAAACCATTCATATGTTATGAAGGAAGACTTAGCATCAATCAATGAAATATCCCTCTTCCACAAATGAGTGTACAAAATACAGTTTCAATAGAAACTCCTAATACATGTACATGATGTGGTCTAAAGATCTCTGAAGATAAAACTAAAGCATTAGTTCCACACTACACTCCTCCCCTTACAGAGATTATATAAAGCCACGATGACAGTTAAACAAACTCTGGAACATGGGCTAGACAAAACATACCTCAACACTTACCTTGTACAGATAGGGGTAGAAATTAACATGCAGGGGATTTAGTGGGGGTGATGTTTAACATGCAAGGTGCTTTAACATGTTCAGGATTCAAACAATTGAGTTTTAGGGGTGTTTTGTTTTAGTGTTATTAGCTAGGTTTGTATAACTGTGTCTTGCATCCTGTGCTTTTGAAAAAAAATTTTCATTCTCAACATTTTTAAAGTTTGGCATATTTACTATGTTACTGAACTGCAAACGGTAATTCATTTTAAAGTTTGAAAAATTATATATGTATTCATGTAGCACATAGGAACATATTGTCACCCCCCCCCCCCCCCAAAAAAAAAATCTGATGTAGTAAAATCAAAAAGGAGAATTGAAGAATAATTTACTTTCTTTTCTGATAGACATCATTGCACAAATCTCATGCCTGATGAAAATTTTTCAAACTTCCTTGTATAAAAAATGACAATTTGTGAAAATCAATAGAAATAAGACACTGCAGCCTTTTAAATTTACGTTGTAATTTAGAATCTGTCATACTATTGCATTAAGAATATCCTAAAAAAGAATGGAAATTAACAATTCTGCAATTCAATGTATGTCATACCTGCAAAAAAAAATACTTAAAAATAGAACATACACAAAGGAAATCTTAAACTGATTCCGATTTGTTTGATTATTTTCAACCAATGTTCGCTCCATTTGCAGCTCAGTGCATTTGATTGCTGTAGTTGTACAATTATCAATGCAGGATTCAACGATAGCATTTCGTGTGAGTGAAACATTCAATTTTAAATAACTTGAGGTTATGTCATAGCATTGATTAGGCAAACGAAGTGAATGTTAGACACATATTGTCCATTACCATTTTGAATTCTTCTGCTTTGTTCTGTTGGAGAAGGAAACTTTGTCATTAAAACATCACAAATACAGGCCCACGGGCCACCAGGCTAATTTCAAATAAAAACATTGTATTCATGTTTACACATTAGTTTGGGCTATTTTAATGTATCTTTATAGTGAAACTAACATTATGTGGGAATACAAGAGTCTTCGTCTTTGTAAATATAATTAAATGCTTCCCAGGTCTTTACATTTAAAGATATGACCAAAAAATTATTTAAAAAAAAAATAAGTTGTTGTTTTGTTTTTTCTGAAATACACTGACCAATTTCAAGACTTAGCTTAGTTATTGCCATTTCTGAATGCTCTGATAAATTACAGTTTTATAATCTTTTCCTATTTATTTTGCAATGATGCACAGAAAAAAAAATACTAGGTCTCTTAATGGAACAGACATAAATCCACTTCTGAACAGAAAGATTGATGTCAAATGTTAAAAATAGATGCCAATTATCGCTCCTGAAGAAGACAAACGGAAAATGTGGATCAGGGGAGCTTACTGAAAGCTTAGGGCAGGCAAATCCTCTTAGTAGAGCCTCCTTAAGAGAATAATTGAACATATGTGTTCTATAATTAGAAAATTCTTTTAATTCCACTAAAAAGAAAATTTTGTTTTTAAGTATAGTTGCAAGATGTATATGTGATTTTCAATTGCTTCAAATAATTTTTTTAATAAGGAAAAAAAACTAGACATACATTCAGCTCTGCCCAGGGTTCAATAGTAATGCAACATGAAAAGAAAGATACTTTGCTTCTTTGTTTAAGATTAAGGTAGATGAGGAATAGTGAGGTCAAGGTCACAGGGAAGGTTTAGGTCAGAAAATTATGACACAGTTGAATAGCTCTTACCAATTTTTATTAGTGAATGAAGTTTAATAAAAATATCTTGAATAATTTAAAACTGAGTTTTAAACACAATAAATAGTAAAGTCAAAGGTCATAGGGAAGGTCAAGGTAAAAAAAAAAAATGTGGACACATTTGAGTAAGTTCTCACAAATATGAATCAATGCATGTGCTTAGATAAAAATATCTTTAATAGATTCTTTGAAACTGAGCTAATTGAAAATGCAAAAGAAAAGTAACATTAAGTCGTACATTTTGGACAAAGTTGAATAGTTCTCACCAATATGTATCAGTATATGTGCCTAGATAAAATATCTTGAACAGTTTCTTTGAATCTTAGCTAAATGCAAATAAAATAGTAAGGTCCAGGTCATAGGGAACATCAGGTTAAAAACATAGGTAATCAGAGATTACAGAGCTCACCTCAACGAATGTTGTCTTTAAGTAAGGCAAAGTCCCACACTAAACTAATAATCTTGTGCATCCCTAGATGCAACATTTATGCAATTTTGGTCTGATAGGGCTTGCAGTTACTTGGGAAAAGACTTATCTGAAAACTTAAAACTAGTCACTCATCCAGAAAATGTAAGTCAAATCCAGCATCCGAAGCAAGTTTGAGATTGTTTGTCCCTTGATGAATCATCCATGCAAGTTTGATTCAGATAGGCCTTACAGTTACTCGGAAATGAGATCTGCTCCAAAAACTTTAACCTGGTTACTCATCCGGAAAATGTAGGTCAGATCCAGCATCCGAAGCAAGTCCAGTAGTGTGCGTCCTTAGATGTATCACCTATGCAAGTTTAGTCAATATAGGGCTTATAGTTACTTGGAAATGAGATCTGCTCCAAAAACTTTAACCTGGTCACTCATCCGGAAAATGTAGGTCAGATCCAGCATCCAAAGCAAGTCCAGTAGTGTGAATCCTTAGATGTATCACCTATGCAAGTTTAGTCAATATAGGGCTTATAGTTACTTGGAAATGAGATCTGCTCTAAAAACTTTAACCTGGTCACTCATCCGGAAAATATAGGTCAGATTCAGTATCTGAAGCAAGTCCAGTAGTGTGCATCCTTCGATGTATCATCCATGCAAGTTTGGACAATATAGGGCTTACAGTTACTTGGAAATGAGATCTGCTCTAAAAACTTTAACCAGGTCACTCATCCGGAAAATATAGGTCAGATCCAGTATCCGAAGCAAGGCTAGTAGTGTGCATCCTTAGATGTATCATCCATGCAAGTTTGGTCAATATAGGGCTTATAGTTACTTGGAAATGAGACCTGCTCCAAAAACTTTAACCTGCTCCAAAAACTTTAACCTGCTCCAAAAACATTAACCTGGTCATTCTTTAGCTGAAATTGCAGCATCTGAAACCTTGACTGGTACAATGAAACACACTAGAAGCATCCTCCATGCATCTGACTAATATAGGCCATAGAAGTACTTGAAAAGAAAACTGCTCCAAAAACCTTAACCTGGGACGCCGACGCCGAGGGTATTACATAAGCTCCCCCAACTTCGTTGAGGTGAGCTAAAAAATTGATGCAGTTGAACACTGTAGATCACTATATTTTCGCGACACCTTATTTTCGCAAGATAGCTATCTGATATTTATAAGCGAGACAAAATTTTTGTGAGCTGTTGTGATTTTTGTATATAATGTGTAGGGCTGTCACGAGTACCCGAAATAACCGAGAACCGCGGTCCAAGTTGTTCGGTTCGGTTCCGGTTCCATTTTTCCGGATTTCGGTTCGGGTCTGGTTTATATATTAGAGTCTGTTCAATACAAAAAATGGCGTCGAAATCAAAGGAATGATGACGATAACAGTGATAAATAAACATAACAACTGAAATCTACTTCATTCCATGACAAAACACTTGTCACGGAAGTATTAGATAATTATCAAAACGAGCAGGAATGGTCAGGTTGTGGCTAATAGTAGGCCAAGTCACCAATGTCTAGACGTTCGCATGGTTAAGACTTGTTTTCAATGTAAATTTAATGTAACAAATAAAGATTTTTCAAGTTAAATTCATGAAATTAAGGCTTAAAATAGATGTAAATACCTGACCCGAAAAACCCGAAACTGAATCCAAAATTTACAGAACCGACCCGACCCGAAAAATTTTGGAACCGTGACAGCCCTAATAATGTGTAACAATACAAATATACACAAGAATAAAATTTTCGTGAGCAGGCAGACTTGCGTAATTATGAACTGATAAATAAAGAAGTTCTCGCAAACAAAAAGTGATTTACAGTAGCTATCACCAATATGTACATGTATCAGCATATGAAGTTTGATAAAAATATGTTGAATAGTTTTCTTTAAAATTGAGCTAATACAAATTTAAGAATAGTAAGGTCAAGGTCATAGAAAAGTTCTCGGTCAAAATTTTTTGATGCAGTTGAATAGTTCTCATTAATATGTATCAGCATACAAAGTTTTATAATATATCTTGAATAGTTTCTTCCAAACCGAGCTGAATACAATTTAAGAAAATGAGATCAAGGTCAAAGGGAAGGTCTAGGTCAAAATTTTTGATGCACTTGAATAGCTCTCACTAATATGTATTAGCATATGAAGTGTGATAAAAATATCTTAAAAAGTTTCTTTAAAACTGAGCTGAATACAAATTTAAGAAAAGTAAAGTTATGGTCAAAGGGATGGTCAAGGCAAAAAAAAAAAAAAAAAAAAATACGATGCAGTATTAGTTGAATAGCTCTCACAAATATGTATCATCATATGCAGTTTGATTAAAATATCTTGAAAAGTTTCTTTAAAACTGAGCTAAATACAAAGTGTGATGGTAGGACGGAAGACAGACATGACAAACACTATTCCCCGACCATGTTCATGGCAGGGCATAAAAATGGTTTAATGAAATTCAATTCTTAGATAAATGTTTAAGAGTTACATTTCCCATTTGCAACCTGAGTACATTACTTTTCAAAATGATTTAAATATCATTTATCATTGGCTCTATGTTGACATACTGACTAGGACATTGCCTTTGTAAAACTATACACTTTCTTAAGACAACACATTGGTTTGCTTTACCTACTGTCAACATTTTTCTGAGTTACCCAAAGACCAAGCAAACAAAAACAAATCCATTCACAATACCAAAGCCAAAAACAAGTCAAAGACAAGGGCCAGTCATGAGAAATGAGTGGCAGTTAAATAATTAATGTCAGCTCAGTTGTCAATAAAGATCTAATTCTACCATTTGATAGATTACACCAAATAAGCCTCAAATCAAGAAGAGTTCTACCTACCCACAGACCATGGTTCCAGCTCTGCCTTGCCATACTTGATGATCTTAAATCCCTCAAATCCAGCGCAGACATAGTTTTCTCCGTCCGCCAAGTCTTCGATTTCTGTAACCCTTCTTCCACTCACGGGTGTAAAAATCTGACGCACTCCATATGGAAGGTTCAAATTCGATGGCAATTTCCCTGTTAAGTCATTCAACAGATCGTTGAAATTGAAATACCGATGAGGAGTAATGTACAGTTTCTTGCCCTTAAAGTACCTGTCGCCATTGACGAAAAATCTGACCTTCCTAGGCCGTCGTAGATCTCGATATCGTTCATCTGTTACATCTTTGTGAGTTTGGGAGGCGGATACATTTATATTGGGGTAGGGACGCCTAGACATTGTATCGGTCATTTGGACTGCACTTAACATTGGGGAGTCAAATCTCCCCACACCTCAAACAGAAAAAAATGATGGCCAATAACCTTGCAGGAGCTTTACTTTAGGAATATTCTGCCAGCATTTGGTGTTTATCTATGCTTTAATGGATCCATTTTCTTTATTATCCTGCAAAAAAGAATAACACAATTAAGCATCAATATTGCAGAAAGACATATAAAGAATATATATTTCTTGAAGTATACAAATTATATGTACTGCTAACTTCTACTGTAAACAGGGTTATTTTTGCCCTGTGTTATTTTCACCCTTTCACACTTGCAAGCAATTTTGTCCCATTTTATATTCACCCATTCAAAGTTCTGTTTGAGAAATAACACTGTCTTCTTTGAATTTGCCCTGTTTTAATTGTGTGATGAGAGTGAAAATTTCACTGTATACAGTATATTTACAATGTAATTTCAAAAGTATCCCAATTTTAAAAATATGTACAAATTTGTTATTTGTTATGAATTTTTTTAAGATGAATACAATGCAAAGAAAAAGAAGAATTGCATTAAAGACATCATTTAGTTATAATATCATCAGTATAGAACACAGAGTCTACATTATCAAAACAAAACGAAGTCTGCGTTCATGGGTCAATACAATAACATGCAATCCACTTCTATATCCCCCCCCCCCCCCCCCAGTTGAACAGCAGCATTCAATTGATGCACATATCAAAACCAAAAACATTTGCATTTTTAAATGCATTGAAATTGTTAATTTAATTAGTATAGATATCTATATAGGCAGATACGAACCTACCAGAACATTATTAATTGTAATGCACCAGTCTACAGTGAAACCTGCACAGTCAATCAATTGGTAAACTTGATGATTAAATGAAGACCAAAATTTTTAAAATTTAATGACAAGCATATTGATTTCAAACAGAAATTTTGGTTGGCCGCCATTTATTCCTAACTCATCAGAAACTAGTGAATGGATTAATTATAGGTAATAACCTGTTGACATATATTTCTTCAAATTTCAAAACATTTAAACAATTAATCCTATTTCCAAAAAGATTTGCAAAATATAAATATCTTGACAAATCTTTGTAACATTGCCAATAGTTAAAAATAGTCATTTGAATTTTAAAAGTTTAAGATTTATCATTCGAGTCGATATTCTAGGTTGCAACACTCAATTTACTAATTGCTTGGATCAAATTTTTTTTTTTTCAAAAACAGGATTTAAAATATGGTTTAAAATGATGTTTAGAATTTAACAGTTCTTTTTCAAGGCTTTGGAACTAAAGTAATGCTGAGCAATGGAATGTCTTAACAGTGCTATGGGATAATACAATGCTGTGCAATGATCAAAGGCTTACATATGTCAAATAAATAATATACATATACCTATATATGTATATTTAATAACTGTTTGTCATTTACCCTTATATCTAATAATGACTTTTGGAATGACATACTTTATATTATGAATTGTAAAGCATACAAGGATTCTGTTAATTACTTTTAATTGTGATACTTAGGAGTATTTCCCTGCCATTTGTCTTTGTTAAGATACTTTTAAGGTAGATTGTCTTACATTCAAGGTTGTTCTGTTGGAACAAAGCCAAATATAAATCTTCACCCAAATGAATTAATAAAAATTATTCAAACAGTAAGAAATTACATATAGATATTAAGTTTAATGTAACCTTCAGCAATTTCTTTAGTCCTTTGACTGCTTAAGAAAATCTTTCACACAATTGCCAATTTGTCTGATGAAAATGAAGCCAATAAATATCATACATATTGACCCTTAATGTATTAAATAGTTATCTCATTTTTTGTTGAATTAGTATCATTAAGATTGAATAAATCTGACAGAAATGTAGGATCCAGTTAAAGGAAATAAAAATTCAGATTACATATAAAATATACCATTGGAAAACTAGTCTAGAGGTACTGTTATGAGCAATGAGCTCACAAAATGATATCCCCAGCTCCTATAGGAGTATAATGGCAAAGTCCATGTTATGCAATAGGAAATCTCAAATATCTGTCTGATCGAAAAATAAAATAGAAAGTACACAATATCACTACGTAATATAAAGAGTCTGATATAAGTCTGATTAAATTTTATTCAGTAGTATAGGAGGAGTTGCGGATAAGTGATGGATACCTCCCATGTTATAGAAATAATGGTTACCGTAGTGGGTTTTGCTATGGCAAACTCCAAATATCTGTCCCACCGAAAATTAAAATATGACGTGCACAAGGGTAATAAAGATTCTGTGAAAGTCTGATTAAAGTTTATTCAGTGGTATAGAAGAAGGTGCGGATAAGAAATGGGTACCCAATTGTTATGGACATACGTAAGGACGGACATCACCATCAATATACACCTCCCCTTTTTCCACAGGAGTTCGCATACCTATCAATTTAACCGAAATTTTCAGTAAATAAAAAAAATATGTAATACCTATAATAATTTATAGGTATTACGCATATTTGTTATTTACTAAAACTTTTATAGGTATGCGAAATCCTGTGCTTTTTCAAGCGGGGGATATACCGGTAATAATGTGGATTCTAAGAGCTGGGAGGGGGAGGTCAGGGGGCTGTTAAATATGAAGAAAAGTTACCTCTCAAAAAGTTTAAATTTATAAAGGGATTCTGCAATGTTATAAAACTATTTATTCACCTATATAAGAAATTCAATGAAATCATTAATTTAATTTACATGATAAATCATTCCTTAGAATGAATGTGTATATCAAACATCAAACCAAAGGTAAATGGTTGTTAAATTAAAATTTCTCTGGTAAAATTTCATAGAATTTATTAATGTCCCCCCAATATGTCACTTGCTTGATGATATGGTACAACACTTAAAAAATATAATATTTTCAAAAATTTCGAGAAAAGCAGGTGCTGAAAAGATGTGACAAAATGAGGATGAAGAAAGATTTGACATGACATTTCCTATTGTCTTTTACAGCATTTATTTTTTAACCAAAACCTGTCACAACAAAGGTGTCAGCATTGTCAGTGGTTATCTTGTACCCCCGGAGCGATACACATTGATTTTCAATATCAAACTACAGGATAACGCACATTCCCCGGGATGATCCCAAAGATAAAGAGGGATCTCACGCCAAATATAAATCATTCCTTTATAAAATCTAGGCCTTAACTGTAAGCACACAATATGCTCATAAAACATCTGGGATTTTGCTCTATAATGTGCAGGTTTATTAATTATTCTCAACACACCGTTATCTTGTCTTATAATTCCTAGCATGCATACAGTACAGGAAATGTGTTCATAGACTGCACATTTTGTTATTTATGGACTAAATAAATTCAGTTTTATTATTTGAGGAGGATTTACTATAAACAAGAACAAAAATAACTACTGTGATTTACTGTAAACTCCTGTGTTTCCTTTTTTTTTCAAGATAACATCAGAATACCAAAACTACCTAAGATGAAAAAAAATTTGTGGGAAAAAAAACAGAACTCTCTGAAAACATGTTGCTCTTTTGGTTTTGAACTTATGATATGGTAGTCTGATTGTACAAATCATCACATTTTCATTATCAAACTAAAAACAAATGCTTCTGTCAAATCCTTAATTTAGTTGATTTGTTTTAAATTTGGGATAACTGAATTATCAACTATAACTGATAAACTGATACACAGATGGATTTTTAATATGTAGACTTTTTCCCTAATTACATCTTTTCAGAATTTTGAACAATTAATTAAACCAAGATCTACAAAGACATGCAAGCTATATACTGCATATCTTTTGCATCGATCCATTTAAATATATTACCCATCTTTGGAATTTTTTCCAAATATGTATGCAACAAAGAAACTTAAATTATTACAGTAAAACTTGTCTAATCCTGACACCACTGGTTCCATGGGTATTAGCAAGATATGAATTAAAACATTCCGAAATAAAGAACATTTTAAACAATGGAATTTACTTACAGGAACTAAAAGTCTTCATCATAAAAGGCAAGATTTCAGAATACAAACATTCTGATTTAACAAGTTTTACTGTATTAACAAAAAGTTGACTGAATAATTGAACACTCAGAGATTAAAACCACAAAACAATTAATGAATAATGCTTATTTTGACATCTCTACTTATTATAGTAGTAACATTGCTTTTTACACACAATGTCCATGCTTATAGTTAAATGAAAAAACAATTAGACTTTTTAAAGTAAAACTGAAATACAAATAGAGTGGGTTTTTTTTTCAAGACATGCTGAATTTAAATCTATAGAAATGTAGTCCAAAAGTATATTTTTACGAGCATGTAAATAAATATCCATTACACAAGAGGTATGTGTCGATACACAAAAACAAATTGCATGGATCAATCCTTTAACAGTAAATACATATATCTATAAAAGTGTACAGGTATTTGGGGGTGTTTGCTTCTCTTACAAGACTGAACAAACATTCATTGCCAACATGTTTTATATCAGTATAAAGAATAAAGTGAAACGAAAAATCGTCATTTTGTATAAATTGAATTTGATTCAATGGTAAGATCAAGTCTAATATCAAAGGGAAGAAGATAACACACTGTAATAAAAACAGAAGACAGCACTCCCAAAGAAACGTCAGCAAACAGAATGTGATTGACTCCAGTGATGTACAAATATTCCGTTTTCAGGCTGATACCTATCTCCTTGTATTAAACCTCTTCAAAAAGGAAACTTCTTTCAATATGAGGAGATAACGGTTTTATACTTCACAATGTTGCTAGCTTACTCTCGACATTTGTCAACAGACATTCCAAATGATGTCGGAAATATCAAACACATTAAAGAGCAAGAATTAGTCCAGGAATACATATTACTGGCACTTAATTCTGATCACATATATACATAAAAAGGACATTAAAAAACTGTCTCTATTTATAGAAAAGGACTATTTTTGTCTCACCAAATATATAGATATATATATAACCATTGCACCTAAAAGCCTTGTAAAATAATTTCATAAAAAGTCCAAGATCAAAAATCAACAAATATGCTGGTCATCAAACAGTAGTGTTTCATTCAACTCATTATACTCAG